TTTTTTTTTTTTAAATTTTATATTTTATTACAACTCAACATTTTTGTAGACCACGCAATACAAATACAATGTGTAAATTAATTAATTATACAATTCCTAATGGATAGTTAAAATTATAATAATGAATTCCTAGTTAACAGTGGTGGTAAAATGATTTTATCATTTAGGGGACGATATAGCTGATTATTTAACATATACACTGTTTAATTATTAAAAATATGATTTATGGTTATCAGTTATAAAGCATTGAAAAAATGTCACGAAAAGATCTATCCCCCTCCCCATTTGATCGCCACTAGAAATAAATCACCATAGTTATTGATAATAACTATATTATTTTTATTGTTCATTTATACGTATAATATACTATAGTGTTTGGGAAATCATGAATTTGACGACGGTGTGGAAGATCTTGCGATGTTCATACGAAACATAACCATTCCAGTAGTAGCTTGTAATCTCGATCTAACCAACGAACCGTCTTTGGCCAATGAGCCAAACTTAATGAAATCAAAAGTTCTGACGGTGAATGGTCGTAAAATTGGAATTATTGGATACTTGACACCGGAGACAGCGGTGAGTATTACTGCACATACTCATTACTTATACACGTATAACTATTATCAACTTGGGTTACAGTGCTCGAATTGGTTGGGAGGGGATGCACAGGGGGACGGGAGCTCCCCTACTATTGTTACTTTTTGTTTGCGCACCCCTACTATTTTTTTTTACTTAGACGGAGAGATGGTACAAACTAATGTCCGAAATAATTTTTATTAAAATATGGATTTTTAATTAATAATAATTATATAAAAATTTTACCATTTTTCATATCAAAATTATTTTTGATATTATAGTTTAATAATTTATTATATATTTTYTACACGGTTTAATATCTACAGTTGTGCTTTTCTACGGTGCACAGAAGTGTGTGAAAACATATCTTCGCGCATTGTGCACATTTACTAATGGATTAGATGAAAAACATTAAAATAATAATATTATAATTTGAAGTAATGATAATATTAATAACATAAACGGCATAATGAATCTGATSAGTTGACTGTTTGACTCCAGTAAAGACGATGTATCTATTGTTTGTCTATATAATGTTAATTTATATATTATTTATGGACTTGTGGGTTATGCACTGCAGACACAAGCCAATGCCCACGGTCTCCTGTGATGGTAGAAAACTAGAAACATTGAAAGTCCCTAATTTTGAAAATGAAACTAACCACTGGGATAGATTAATTCAGTTTTCGCTAGGTAGCCAAATAACGACCYTAAACCAAGGATCATTTACTTCGAAAATTGTGAAGCGTGGTCATGACATACATATTAAAAGAGGTAACTCGAGTCTTATCATGATACAAGAATGAAGGAAATTACAGTGCTTCAGCTTTTAAGAATAATTAGCCAAATCAAAACAAGGTTCACCTTGGTAGGTACGCATAATGATGTAAACATACCAAATATTCCGTCTAGTATTGTATCTATATATTATATACTTATAGTGTAAAGTGTATGCATTGTATTCGCGTATTTMTATGGTTGTTGCTATCGGCCAGTCTGATTGGCTACTTGACTGGAGGGCGTGACCTCCTAGCCGGTAGATGACCATAATAATATATTTATCGTAACTGTTGCTAAGATCGCGGTAAAAAATGATATAAATTATTATTGAATCATGAATCACATTTACATAGGTAATATATAATGCTACAAAGTAAATAAGTTTGATTGTTTAAGTTGGTATCTTATTAGAAGGAATGCAATATGCTGTAGTAGAATAAAATACTTAAAAAGATGCGTAAAAAGGAGTAGTGGGGAAGATATGGGAAGGAGTAAGGTTTTAATGCGTGTGAATATAGGAGGTAAAACAAAATGAGAGAATGTAAAATTATTGTGATTACATTATATAATATACCTAGTGCTTTGTATAAATAATGGTGCTCAGCCAATTGGAATGTGCAGTYTCGTGTCTGAGTCATTATTGGACGCCAGTATAAAGGTATGCCTATAATTTATATATATATTTTTTTCAATTATATTGTTTTTTAGCTGCTTTGAGTAGGTATTTTATTATAGTGTGCAAAATATAGTTTTATATTTTATCTTTATGTATTGCATACAACAATGTCTAAAATATGAAGTTGGTATATTATCATGTTTCCATACACCTGTGTTATTTTGTTTGATAATTATACCTACTTTGTGTTGAAGGTCAGCAGAGATGGTATTATTGAGTATATTTTGGGTGTGGTGTTTATAGTAGGTATATCRATATCTGCTTCAATGATCGATATTATACAAAGTGTTTTTCAGTGTTATACATATTTTAAATTCTTTGTGGGAATTTATTGTTCATTATTTTCGTTTTTAAGTTTTTATTGAAAATAATTATATATGTATTTATTCGTGCAATCTATTGTGTTTTATTGATTGCTAAGAACAATTTTCTTAGTATTATTTTCTGGATGAATACCATATTGCACATTAATGCATTCTATGCTGATTGTGGTTGAGTTTTTGGCGGTACTCGTATGCTATTTTTTCTTTAGATATTGTGATAATTATTTATTTATTGCAGTTATTATCTTATAATTATGCGGTTGCAAGTAATATGTTTTGTTTAAGACGTTAAAGTTATTACTTATTATTTTATTATTTTCCTATTAGTTTTTTTTAATCAAATTATTCTTACGATGTTGGCATTTTTCTATGCTGGAATTTGTTTGGTGTATTTTAAGTAAGTGATTGATTATTTAATTTTTTATGTTAATTATTTCGAAATTTTGGAAATGTTTTTTTGGTTTAAAAATATTAATTTTCAGGTATTTATATGTAAKGCATTATTTTTTTATTTCATAATTTTGGTCTGGTGATTAAGTACAGAAATGTGATATCACTTGAATGTGTCTCGTATCTGAGTCACCATTTTTGACCAGTATAGCCGTAATATCTATGTATTATAGCAGGTAGATTGTAAATTCCATCCGAAGTGAACAGGGGAAAAAAGGTGCATGTTAATTCCACCCGGAAAAATAAAAATTTAAATATATATACATGCAAAATATAATTAGAAAATATAAAAATATAATGAAATATCTATCAATAATTATGTAGGAACCATGCGCGTTGCATCATTATAAGAGGAATTTTGAAAAAAAAAAAAATATATCATATTACCTACATTATATTTTGACTCAGCTTTATAATTACTATTTTTACGATTTCTATTAATTATATTATGTGTATATGTGTGATAGATACATATATATGTGATAATTATTGATTATATTTTGAAAGTCTATAATAAAATAATTGTTACTTTTTTATGATTTTTATATGATTTATATAGAAATTATTAACTTGATATGTGAAATATATATCTATTTAAATACTGATAATGATTAATCCATGTTATTAGTTTATTAMTCATATTATTATTAAAACTTAGGTACCTACTTTGTATAGGTTTTACGCGTGGGATTTACATGGCCTCGTATTTTATTAAGATTTACAAAATTATAGTTCTATATTAAGTTTAGATTACATTACATAAACAGTTCTTCYTGTCGTCAGTCGCAATGGTTAAACATTCTTTAAACATGACAAAAAAACAGTTATTTATCATGTTGTTTTGTCTTAGGATGAATACATATTTTACGAATTAGTCTACAAGGAATAAAAATAAAATGTCCATATAACTGTATATTTTCGTATAATTTTTACGTTTAAATTCGTCCTTTAAAAGTCTGGCACATTAAAGCACATTTTAAATATTAATGAACTAGAAAATAATCTAGGTACTAAACGTTCGGTTAAAACTATTATTTTGTATTCGTATATTTTAAGGCCATAACACGAGTGGGCAACGTGAAAATAATGCCAGAAATTCCATCGATTGTGGCCGAGGCGAAACGTTTGAAAAACAGAGGAGTGGATATTCTCATTGCGCTGGGACATTCTGGTATAGAAATGGATACACAGATAGCCAGAGATGTCGAGGACATCGATTTGGTGATTGGTGGACATTCACATACGTTTTTATATACAGGTAAATGCACTTAATATTTATTGTTGTGTTTTATGTACCTATTGTATATGACTATCCCATTATACATTTCTTTGTCAACTCTTCACTTGTAGTGATTAAGAAGATATATAATTATTCCTTAGAAACCTTTATTTACTTTTGTATTCACCTCGGAGGTAGTTGATTCACTTATAAATACAGTTCTGTATGCTCTATAGTAGAGTTTGGCAGATAATATTGTTAAACCTTATGATTTTACAATGTATTATTTTGTTTCAATATTATTAATAATAAGTACCTAGCTTTATAAAATGGTTATTCTTGAATTATATTAATAATTTAGTAAATTATGGTACACCGGACGACCATTTGTCATAAATTACATTTTAATCTAAATAAAATGTTCATATAATATTTTATATGCAGTCTTGTAAGTTTCCAGTTTTATTACTGTAATAATATACAAATCGTATTATTCGGGAGTCCGGACAGTATATATCTACTGCGTATGTGCAATAACCACGTCATATCATCATCCTTACAATCTGACTGAATGATAAAACATTCATATATATATATATATTGAAATAATACAGGCATTTATATACGTAGATACTAAATTCTTATACATAAATGATTATTTTAAAGTTATAAATCTGCTATTTTCTTGCAGGAAATCCACCAGATATCGATAAGCCCTTCGGCTCATATCCTCTTTGGGTTAAACAACCAAACTCTAAAAGAAAGGTGCCTGTCATTCATGCATACTACGTTACCAAATACTTGGGTGAATTATGGCTAGATTTTGATGAAATCGGCGAAATTATCAAATGTCACGGGAACCCGATTTTATTAGATTCCAGTATTGGACAAGGTAAAGCGCTATAATCAATGTAATATTTTATATTATAATGTTCTTAATTAATATTTTAGATACTATTGTAATCGCTTGTAGAGGTACTAGCAAGGTTGGCTCTACAAAGTAGCAAACTTATTAAAAAGTATTTTAACTTACTCTAGTTATTACTAGCATTTTATGAATAAAGTTGGATAACTGTTAAAAGAAAAAATATAAACACAATATAAACATACTGATGAAACTCAATATTTACGTGTATATTAAACACTTTGCGAATTTGTTTTCCCTATATGTTGAGTAATCTTGGTTTAGATTGAAATTTATTCATGTATTAATACGCAAACATTTTTTTTCTAGATTAAATTATTTTAACCGAAAGAATCGTATTTACAATTATTTAAATATTTAATTTCAGCCAAATTTTAACTTGATATGCGTATAAAAAAGATTGTGTTTATACATTTGGTTACAGCATAAACTATTCTTTGGGAACACTACTAAATTTTAATTTTAAGCTTGAAAAATTGAACACCGACTTATAAAACTAATGCATATACAACTTTTAAAATAACCATACATAAAAAATGCTAATATAAATAATTTTTCGTATACCTATCTACTGTTGTTTGTTATTGAGTTCCAAAAATAACAAAATTTCAATTTCGTTGTTAACTGATTTAACTAAAGAATTCCTGATGTTTTTTACTGGCTATTATTAAAAGTCCTATGAAATATTTACTTTTCATCCCAAGATGAGCCAATTAAATCTAATCTGTTACCAAAACCTTAATATTATGGTCTGATTGTCATATGATGGTCTGAGGATTTTTTCAACTAGAAAATGTGCCTTTAAGCACACAAAATTAATAAATTCATTACTCTACTCAGAATCTAAAATTAATTTGAGTCCAATGAAATAAAGTTAAAATAAAATTATCATAGTGGGTACCACTTTTATTATAAAAAATAAATACTTTCCAACAATAACCTAGGTATTCATATTCAAATCAAGTTTTAACTATAATTTCTAATGGTTGTGATGTGAAGGCTTATGTCAATTTTCCATCAAGTTGACATCGGCACTCAATTRTTACAACCTCTGAATAAATATCTGTATTTTGCTACGAATTCGCTAAATTTTTATAAGTGATTTTCAAAACTTTATACTTTCTTATTTTTTCTAAACGCCATAAATAAACATTCCAGTCATATCTTGACGTTGCACCGACACATTGTTAAAGTACCTCAAAATGCGTATTCAATTTGACGGTCATATCTCTTTTAAACATTGTTTATTAATGTTGTAAGATAAGGCAATCATTATTGTATTGTTATGATAGATACCGAAGTATTAAACGAAGTAAAAATCATGAACAAGGTGATCGAGGTCAAGACTAAACAAGTGATTGGTTCGACAAGCGTATTCTTAGAAGGAATTAATGAATATTGTAGATTCAGAGAATGTAACCTGGGAAATTTCATAACGGACTCTTTTATAGATTATGTGAGTAATAAAATATAATAAAATATATTAAAAACAATAAAGAAAAAAATTGATGGTGTACAGAATATTCGAAACAATATTAAATCGTTTGATTCGACAAAATCCTGGACCGACGCACCGATAGCATTGTTACAAGCTGGCGGCATACGGACAAACATGAATAATATAAATAAAAGAGGTTAGCTATAAGTATAATAGAATAAAATTACCTATTTACACTAAAATGTACTCTATATTGAATGAAAAAATTATAAATGGTTGTTATGTATACTTTAGGTAACATCACTTTTGGCGATTTACTGTCATCGCTGCCGTTTCAAGATGATATAGGTAAAATTACGACTAAGGGTTCAGACATTTGGACAGCTTTTGAGTACTCCGTTCGACGGTATAGTAAAACGGTGGCCAATGGTGAATTTCTACAAGTCTCAGGTAAACAAACAAAATTGCAAAAAATTGCAAAAAATTCTTAATTATATTTATCTTCTATTTTAAAACGCATACGGTCTAATAATACGATCTATCTGTAGTGATTGATAATAATATATCTGTACGCTGTAATAATTGTTGTTGATGAATTAAAATATATTGTGCATTTAATATTTAGAATAAAATAAAAATCATTTCTCAGTAATCTGACCACTCTAACACAATTTTATAAATCATCCAATAGGATTAAATGTTGTAATAGACTTTGGTCGGCCCAGTGGCGATCGAGTACAATCTATTTACGCTAGGTGTGGAAATTGCGTTGTGCCGATGTACGAGAAATTGGATTTAAACGCCAATTATACGATAATTATCAGTAATTATCTTTCAGAAGGCGGGGATGGTTTTTCGTTCAATAAAGTAATAAAATACCAGAGTTTTGGTGAGTGTGGAGCAAATATTATAATATGTTATTATTGTTATCAGGGTTATTGGATTTTATAGCACTTAAAATTACATAAATATGCGCTATACAATATAACCTAAAATATCTCTAAATATAATGCACTAAAAATATGCAAAAAAAAAGAAATGTATTAATTAATTTTTTCAACACTTATAATTGACTTTACAACGGATTCAACTCTCGTTCGTTGATAATCGATGATTAATAATCACAGTAGAAATCGACGAAAAACCCAAACAAATTTAGCAGATGACATAAATTAGAACAAAGTACCTAATAAGAAATTATCAGAATATTATTTTATACCTATTTATTATCACTGTAATTCTACGGCGTCGCATCAGTGTATCGGCCTATTTACTTAATCTATATACATTCAAATTTATTTGATAATATTCAATTGACAAAAATCTAAAAACACGTTCAGTAAAATATAATTTCATATAATATGATCGATTCTTGATTCAAAACAGATAACAATGCAAAACACTCTCCAAAAAATCTAAAAAACCACTAAAAACTTAAAACCGCAATATTCTTAATTTAAGTTCTCTATGTCATGAAACACACGTTTAGCTTACTCTGCTATTTTTTAAGCATCGCATAAAAAATATGCAAATCCTATAAAATCCTAACCCTGGTTACTATATTATAATATAAATAATATGATGTATCTATAATTATAAAATCAGGTAAATCAGATTTGGATATTGTGGAAGAACAGTTTCACGCAAGGTCTCCAATATGGCCGGAAGTTGGTCAACGAATAGTGCTGCTTAGAGCGGAAGAGTTGAACAAGATGCAGACAACTAGCAGAAATGTCCAATTCATTTACACACCCTTGTCGAACTTTATAATATTTTTGTTGGTAATCGCAATCATGTTGTATCTACCCGACCAAGCGCTTGTTAACGGGGGTATCTGAGGGTAAATATGACCCACACGTTGGATTATTTTTGTCTATTTTTTTGTATCTACATAKAAATTACAGTAAATTAAATTATTTAAATAAATTTTAATGTTTTCGATATTGTTTCCATGTGATTTTAAATGTTACATTTGTCATAAGTTCTTATCGTATCTTGTAATAATTATTTTTTAAACTATTATTATATTATTATAGTGCATTATATTTTAGTGCAATGCTTTTTAATCTATGTGTCTGTGTGCAACATATTTTCGAATTCGTATACGAAAATTAAATTATAACTATTTTTGATTGATAAATTGAATGGTCGATCATTTAATATTTAAAAAAAAAAAATGTATACCCATATTAAAAAGCGTATGTAACCGTACGCACTAACAAAGTAAACGTATACGGTAATCATTCAATGATTCGAAATTCAGGGGACCGAGCTAAACATTTGATTATAGAGGTTTTCGATTTACCGAGTGTTCGAATAATCAGAGGAAAAGAAATTATTTAGAATTAAAGAAAGGTGAATAATTGTATATTATTTTTTACCTGCTTCACTGCCAGGATCCCTTTTTTTTATCGACTATCGACAAACATCTATATTTTACGGAGCCCATATTCTGATTGACTACGTAGTACGTGATAACTATTAGTGGTCATACTAATTTGTGGATTGTTTTTAATTATACTGAAAAATAATAATATCATAGCTAAATAAACTTAAAATAAAATTGATGTAGCCATAATTAATATACGATATATTGTGGTACAGTACTATAGTATACTCTTAGTTAAAATAAAGTTAATTTAAACTTATGAAAATTGATAGGGGGGGAGGCAAAAGACAATATTGCCCCTCAGCAAATATCTGAGGGGGCAGTTGCCCTGCTTGCCCTCTCTTGCTCCCTCTCTGGATTACGCCTATGGTCATATAGGGAACTGTAACAATTTATAATAAATTCATTTGACCGCAATACAACAAAATTTGAGAAGCWCTGATGTTTAGTGTATTTTTCCGTAGGGCACGTTATCATCTCTTTTGACAGTCCACAATCAACTATAGTCAATTAAATAAACAACCTTACTAATAACATACTATCGTGTTCTTACATGTATATTTTCCTGTTTAATTAATATTAATAAATACATTTTTRTCATTCAATCATGCAGCAATGTCAAGTTAGTTAGAACATGGTGAAGTCATAGAATATTACAATTCTTAACCGTGTATATTAAGTGCCTAGTGATTTATTACGATAAAATCGTATGTTTAAATATAAATAATAATTTTATATTGTATATTAAACCATATTATATCTGAAAGGAAATGTTTAAGTTAATTTTGATATTTTTATTAAAATCTATTAAAAATATTCATCAAAGCAACAAAAACTGTTGTAATACTATAATAATTATTGGCATAATTTGGTCATGCTTATGGGAAGGGGGATGAAATATTTATACATTTCACTTATTATATAACCATTGTGATAAACATTAAAATAAATAAGAAACACCATATTTAGATACACGCATTTRCATTTAAACATTAACTTTATTAGTACCTACTACCTAAATACAGTTAGATACGAATTAAATCACAATAAAAGATCCACTCTGCGTGATTTTAATGCTAATTCATTAAGCACTTCTTCCAGGCGCGGATAAAAGGGGAGCATGGTAGCAATGCCCCCAACCCCAAAAAAATCTAAAAAAATAAAGACTGGCGAAAAAACATAATACCATTCATTATAAAATAGATCCATTCTATAATCAATGAAAATACTAAATTATTCTTATTACATATTTCTATATTGGATCATGTTTTGTAAAATTAATATTGGTTTGATACGGTCCGTCGATTCCCGACGTTCCCTGATCGTGAATAATTATACGCACAATTGTTTTATGTACATTTCGTGGTTCCGAGCCGTGCGGTTGGCTTAAAGAAGCGGGCCGCGATGACGGGCGGTTTCGGGCCTGCAGAGGCGTGATTTAATATTATACAAATGATGGGACTTACAATTTAGTATTATTAAAAATTATATAATAAGAAAGGGGATGAGTTAGAATCACTCTCCCATGGTCTCTTATAAGTCGTGTTTGATTTGATACTATCTCACAGTGATACTTTAGCAGGCACACCGAGGGTTGGTTATCAGATTGCTGGTTCTGAAAAGAACCGTTTCTTATTGATCGCGATGGTATATCGACCGTAAGTGCATTAACAATGCTAGTAGTTGTGCACGTGTTCATCAACGCCAGAGACTGCCTTGTATGTCGAATATTTTCGCCGCTGCGTCGATTGTTTCGTCCGTGGCGTGATCGGGAACGCTGCGCTCGTCGGTCGCCGTTTCGTATAACGAGTGTTTCGCCGCTAAGCGTCCGTGACATAACATCGTGATCGTCGATTGCCGCCTCATACAACGAGTGTCTTCGCTGCTGCGTCGATGACTCCGTCCGTGGGGGTGTGCAGGAACGCTGTGCTCGTCGGTTACCGCCTCGTGTAACGAGTGTCTTCGCCGCCGCTGTATCGATGACTCCGTTCGCGGTGTAGGCTGGAACGCTGCGCTGATGAACTCTTTATGTGTCTTGAATCCTTATGTAGTTCGGTGTGTGCAGGTTTGAACTTATTGAAGGATCCTTGAAGACCGTATTGATTATGCTAAATCGTCCGGTATGTAAGTCGTCGTCGGGTCTAGGACATTTGGACGTGACCGTTTGGGCGTTACCGTTTGGACGTAAGACTGTTTTGGCGTGAGACTTTTGGACGTAGGACTGTTTTTGCGAGAAACTTTAAGACGTAGGACCATTTTGGCGTGAAAAAAATTACACTTATAAAAATATTTATTAAAATTACCAAAAAATATTCTTTTGTCTAAAATTATGTTTAAAATCTAAATWAAAAAAWTACATTACACTAAATAAAAWTTTTTTAAATTTTAACCGAACATAGAAATATATTATTATTTACTTTAAAGATATATTTAAAGAAATACCTTTTAAATATGATAAAATATCTCGGTTATTATAATTTATAATCTTGAACTATTTTTAACAGCCTATTATCCGTATCACAATATTTCTTTTATTTTTTTGGTGGACTTCTCCCAGCTTCAAGCTGGTTGTAATATATATCCCGACCATCTTGAATTTTTTTCAAATTTATTATAAATGACCATAACGTAGGGTGATCACATCCCATTTCAATATTYAGTTTACGTATCGCTGCCTCTGCATGATTATTTGTTTTGTTCTGATAATTTAAAACACGTTGATATAAATTCCACGTTTGAGGTGGAAATCGAGGTTTTCTTCGATTTCGGTTATTTCGATTCATTCTACCAATATAATTATCTTCGAACCATTCCAACATTGAGTGTAGTTCCTCAGGTAAATAATTTGAAAGTACATCTATTGTATTATTAAGATCATTTAAACAAACGAATGCTAGTGAAATAATCATTTTAGTTGCTATACTAAATTCTCAGTCGTTGGCATATTTTGAAAGCAAATGAAGTTCACCCATTTTTTTTCTAAAATTTTTAGTCAAGTGAAAAAAACAACTAAATATTTGAGCATTTTAAAAATATTTTTGTACCGAATTAATTACGGCTAATTCGAAATCTAACGATATTGGAATAGGATCTAAACCCGGTTTCAATTTATGTAACATATCAAATAATTTTTCATACGTTTTAGATTGTTTATCTGGTAATGACGCAAAAATAATGGGATGTACACCGCCAAATTATTCAGCAAGAATCACATAAACTTGTGTAAAAAAGAGAGGTGCTGTCCTAAATGTTCCATCACAAACCATGTTTTTGAGTGAAATAAAACATCTAAGCTTTTTTGCCTTCCAAAAATTAAAATTCTGTCATTCCCTGGACCACAATCAGTCAATAAAAATTGTTCTTCTATATTTTTAGATGGTGAAAATATTTTATAGAATTCGGGAATCTGCAATGAAATCAGATCTTTAGGAGCATCTGGAATAGCTTGTATTATTTTTCGTTGTCTTCAGACAGTGTTCTTTAATGTCTGGCTTGATTGAGTTATTCCCTAATAATGAAATTATTGTTAATTTTAAAACACGTTTGAAATATTTGAAATAATTTGAAATTTCAGTAAAAAAATGTGTTCGAATAATGGGGGGAAAATGGGTCTCACGGAAAAACAATATTTATAGCAATAATAACTAGAATATGATAGTTATAACCAAAAATTTTGGTTGCGTCCGTGACAGCAATTTGTTTTGKATTATTAGAACAATATTTTTGTTGAAAGACATAATTACTTATGCACAAATAACTTAATAATAATTACTATTTCAGAGTTGAAAACATACATTCAGGTGATGACGTTGACAGTTGTAAAGTGTATAGCACTTTTAGGATAAAATAAATATTAGGGTAAATATCTTTATTACAAATATCTAGAGCCTCGAGGTATTTTTTTAGATCGTTGTATCAAGGTACGCCACAGTTTTAATTCAACCAAAGAATCATTAATTAAATCAAATATTCAATTAATTAAGAGTTGACAAATTTTCAAATAAAAATGCAAAGAAATTCTAAATTAATAATCAAATACTATTAAAAATAGATGCATAAGATAAAAATCTTTCTGTCAAYCCGCTTATAAAAAACTCTATGTATGGATAAAGAATGTAACCCTATAGTATTCTTCATTGTATAAATTACTTGCATTATCTGAACACAGATTTACTCTGTTTGCTTTTTTTTAATTCTTTCTACAGCTAGGTAGCTCAAGTTAAAATACTGAAGCCTTACTTTAAAAAAAAATGCATTACATTTGTGAATAACTCATATTATATAATTTTATTGTTAATTAATAAGTATTTATTGAAAATAAATAAAATTTCTACATCACCCACTTACCCTCTTTTTTTTACAAGGGACGATACAATTAATAATGACTAAAATAGCCGAAAAAGGCATGGCTCTACGACTTCCCTCCCCCCGTGGGTACCTTGATATAAA